ACTTCACAACCCACAGGCCCTGGGCAGCCACACTGCTCCTGCCCCTGCCCTGGCTTAGGATTCTGTTTTTCACGTCCAGGCCTTTGTCCAGAGAATGCCCTCTGCCTTCCCCGCCTTTCTACCCAGGCCACTCCTGCCACGCGATGGCCGGGGGGCGTCAAACTACAGCCCCGGGGCCACACCTGCCTGCCGCCTGCTCATATCTAGCTGTCAGCTGCCAACGGCTTTGACATTTTTAAATGCTTGAAAAGATCAAAAGCACACTCCTGTTTCATGACAAGCGGAAATTACCGGAAGCTCACATGTCAGTGTCCGCAAGCCAATCGCGCTGGAACACGCCATGCCCGTTTGTTTGGTCTGGGGCCTGTTCCCAATGGAGCCGCAGATGGAGCGGGAATGTGCGCACTGAGGCTGGCGGGGCCTCAGGCAGTCACAGCCTGGCCCTTCACAGGAAGTTTGCCCGCCCCAGCTCTAGGCCCAAGGTCACCTCCTCCGGAAGCCTTCCCTGACTGCCTGAACTCAGAGGTCTCCACGGGGTGTCTGATCGCCACCAGCCTCCTATGCGGGGCCGGCCGAGTCCCCACGGGAGGCAGAGCGGGGTGACACTCACCGTGTAGTTGGGAGTCAGCCTCTTGATGTCATTCAGTGCCACATCAATACCCATCACGCCCAGGATCAGCTGGTTCTGGGAGCAGAGGCGGGATCTGTCACAGGCTCAACCCCACGGGGAGCCCCCTGCCCACCCCACGCCCAAGGCTCCAAGCGGCTCTCACCAGCGGTCCCATAGGCCTACCTACCCCTCCTCCGTGCCAGCCCTTCCCGCCACGCTTCGTCCTCCCCGCGAGCCCTCACCTTCTTCTCCCCAGGGCCATCCTGCGTCAGGTTGAACACGGGGAGGGTCCCTGTCACCACCAGCCCCAGCCCCTGCAGGGAGAGCAGGAGGGTGGTCTGAGGCCAGCCAGGCCCCGCCCCGTGTTCAGAGCAGAGGAACGAGCGGCCTTTCTCGCTCCTCTGCTGGGTTTACCCCACCACGGGGCCCTCAGGGGCAGGACCCTGCGGGCACCTCGGCGGGGGAAGGGCACCCGCCCCACCCGGAGCCTTACCAGCGCGTCCTCGTACACGTTGGTCCACTGCACCTGCTTGGCCTCCTTGCCCGCCAGCACCATGGGCCTGCCCAGCACGTCCAGATATTCCTGCGGAAGGGATGGCGGCCAGGGGTCACTGGGTCCCTCCCACGGTCCCTTCCCCGTTCCGCCTCCCGTGCATCCTCAGGCCACCAGGGGGCGCGCTCACCCCACAGCAGCTCATCCCAGGCGCTGTCCCCCTGGCAGCAGGGGGCTGGGAGGAGGGGGCCCCAGCGGCTCACCTGTGTGTTGATGCGGATGGCGCCGATGGAAGGGATCTCAAAATAGTAACCTGTGAGGGAGGGCGAGGCAGAGGGGGCTGCTCAGGACCCACACACGGGGCTGTGCCCTGGGCTGTGCCTGCCGCCCCGACGTGTCCCTCAGGCTCCCTCTCTTTCTGGTGTCACTTCCCCGAATCATGTCCCCTCAGTGCTCCCCGCCATCGCCCTGCCAACGGCCCGGGGAGGGGCTGTGAGTGCAGGGGTGCGAGGAAGCGGAGCTGGGGGGACAGAGGAGCCGAGGCCTGCAGTCCCTCGTTCTAGGCTGGCAGTGACATTCAGGGCCCACCCAGGGGACGGGCCCAAGTGCATGGAGAGACAGACGGACCAGCAAGCAGACACAGGAGCAGACAGGCTGCGAGACAGAGGGGCGGCGGGCATTCAGACAGAGGGGCGGCGGGCATTCAGACAGGGGGGCGGCGGGCATTCAGACAGAGGGGCGGCGGGCATTCAGACAGGGGGGCGGCGGGCATTCAGACACGGGGGCAAAAAGACGCTCGGTCAGATGGACAGGTTGGCCACACAGAGAGACGGGTGGACGGTCACACGTGTGGGAAGATGCACAGACAGCGGATGAACAAGCCGCTGGACCTACGGACGGACAGGCGGACACCCGGGAAAATCAGTGGCACCAGGGCTGCCGGGCAGAGGTACCTTTGTTGGCGCAGGCCATCCACTGCAGGGGCGTGACGTCGTAGTTGTGCTGCCCCACGGAGAAGGTGAACACGCGCACCTGTTGGGGACCCGAGGTCAC